CATTTATTGTTAGTGGATAAACAGAGACAGATAAATGGTAATTCTAGAGAATACACCTACTCTTCAGAAAGACATAGATCCTTCTCAAGAATAGATATTATTTGGATTTCATCTATACTCTCACCAAAGACTTTCTGATCATAAATTTGTGAGTTTGATTTATAAATGGAAATCCCTGTCTTTTAGATATTAAATGAAATGTTGTTACAGAAGTAAACAATATTGAAGGATGGTAAAAAGAAATTAACAGAATTTTTTGAAAACTGAATAAACTGATTGGTGAGTGGTGTGGGATACAAGTAAAGGTTTTATTAGTTATTTCATATAACATTATATTGAACTTAAAAAAGGAGAGCCAAGAAAAAATAGTAAATTTTGTATCAGATCAAAAGAAAAGAACTAAAGAAATCACCAGACAAGCATTTCTCAACAAATTAAACTTTTACAGCAACAGCTATCAATGTTAACAGCTATCAACAGTAAAAGAAATGGAAATAAAAATGAACTCCTGTATGAAAACAAAATTGAATTCACGAACAAACAGGGAAATGGTTATTGTATAAATTAAGATAAAAAATATACTGAAACTTCCAAGAGGAAGCACTATTAACAGATAATATGATTATGCAAAAAACATTTTATTAGTATTATTATTCATATAAAGGGCACTGTATTTCTTTGGAAAACGGACGATTACTTTTACAAAAAGCAAAATTTATCAAAGATTACAGAGAAACGAAGAAAGATTATGAATGAATTAATAACAATAAGGGAAGTTTCTGAAGCCATAAAAAGATCAAATCAGAAAAAGGACCAGGACCAGATGGATTATTAGTTTCTTATTGCAAAGATTTTGAGGATTAACTTTTACAACTTCTGCAAAATATGATAAATTCCATTTTACTGGAAGGAAAGATTTCAGAGACTTGAAAATAGCAGTAATATATAGAAATGAACAAGATCTGACTTTATTAAGAAATTATCGATCAATATCGTCACTGAATAAGTTCACAACAATTCTAGTCAATAGACTGAAAATAATCTTGCAAGAATTTATTCATGAAGATCAATGTGGTTTTTATTTAAAAGATCGCAGAGAATCATAGTCTTCTAGCCCAAGACAGGAATCCTCAGAACATTTCAAATGATTGACCAGTCTTTTCTTGAAAATTTCCAATGATGGAGAACCTGCAGGAAGTAAGTTGTTCCATTGTTTAATAATTCTATCAGAAAATTCCTGATTTCCAGGTTGGATCTCTCTCTAATGAACTTCTACATGTGCTCGCCTTATGACGGAATCAGAGACCAGTCATTGCAGGGTGCAGAAATGATCTTACTGCCTTCGCAGTGTTTATTGCTCTTATACAGTTTTTCCGAGCAGCATAAAGTAACATAGCAACAGCATAGCAACAGCATTTTTATTGGTAGATTCTCCTTGTCAATCCTTAATATCTCAGCCAGGGGCACCAACCAGGGGCAGTTTTTTGCTACATCCTGTTGGTGTGAACGAGGTGAGATCATGTGAACCAGGTGAAATCATGAACCAGCCTGGGGTATTTTCCTACATCACCATGGCGATATGAACCGGGTGAAATCATGTATTTGAACCGAGGTAGTTTGCTGCATACAAACTTTACATGACCTCAACCCCTACAGCCTTATCTTCAGGTGCTATGGAGATTAAATCAGCACCCTCTTCCCTGTGGAAACCCTTCAAGTATTGGAAGACTGCTATCATGTTGATCCCTTATCAACCTAATTGTTCTTCTCTACACTCTTGCTAGGATCTCAGCATCTCTTTTGTATTGTGATTACCAGAACTGGATGTGACCTCACCAGGGCAGTATACAATGGTACAATCACTTCCTTTAATCTTGATGTTATCCCTCTTTTGATGTAAACCATGACTGTGTTGGCTTTTTTTTGACAGCTGTAGCATATTGCTAACTCATAGTGGTTCACCAGTTAAAAGAATGTCAGAAGTGTACATTCTAGCTTGTTTAGAACAGTGAAATGAAAATCAAGCTGCATCAGTCTTTTATTTTTAGATGCAGAGAAAGCTTTTGATAATCTGATAGGAACTTTTCTAATTAAAGCTTTAGAAGATATGAACTTTTAAGAAAATGTTATAAAATATAAAAGTTGATCTACATGTCACAGAAGGCACAAATTATTGTTAACGGAGAAACTATGTGAGATACATAAAGGAATAAGAGAGGGCTACCCACTATCTCCTCTTTTGTTTATTTTGTTTTTGAATAGGGACAATACAAGAGGATAGAATAGTGCGAATAAAAACTTAGAAGAAACATCTAGGTTTGGTGCTCGTTTAGGAAGATCCCTTAAAGGGAATTGAATTATTAAATGGGGATATTAAAAAATTGGTGCATTAGCTGATTTTAAAATTAACAGAAGACAAAGACGTTACGAAGAACTAAGGAGAAACTTCCTGACAGTGAGAACAATTAACCAGTGGAACAACCTGCCTCCAGAAGCGGTGAATGCTCAGTGAGAACAATTAACCAGTGGAACAACCTGCCTCCAGAAGCGGTGAATGCTCAGTGAGAACAATTAACCAGTGGAACAACCTGCCTCCAGAAGCGGTGAATGCTCCAACACTGGAAGTTTTTAAGAAGAGACTGGACAGCCATTTGTCCGAAATGGTATAGGGTTTCCTGCCTGAGCAGGGTCCCTTCCAACTTTACTATTATTATTATTATTATTATTATTATTATTATGATGATGATGATGATGATGATGATGATGATGATGATGATGTGGATCCCAGTTCAAATAGAAATGATGAATGAGTTTTAAAAGCAAGAAGGTAAAATACTTGCGTATTAACAAATATGAAATGCTTTTTTAAAATAAGTACCTTAAAATATGGAATGAACTTAAAAGATGTGAAAAAATAAAATTGACATTATTGGAGAGAATTTCTGTGATTAAGAAGAATTTTTGTCTAGAATGCTATTTTTGTTTCAGGAAATATCCGTTTTGATAACTGATGTACCATTTAAAAATGGCAGAAAGATATATAAACTTGTGTGGCAAGGAAAAAGCATGAGTTAAATATCAGGTGTTGCAAGATGCAAAGGAAAGAGGGTTGGGTCTGATCTGAAATTATACTTTAAAGCTAACTGTTTAGTTTGGATGAAAGAGTGGATGATGATGTGAAAGAGAAGGTTATTGGAGTTAGAAGGACACGATTTGAGATTTGGGTAGCAAGGGTGCTTATGGTACAATAAAGCTAAGGTTACTGCAGATTTTAAAATAATTTTTTAGGCATGCCACATTGACAATATGAAATAGTTGTAAACTCAGGTTGTTTGAAAATATCTTTGTGGCTCTCAGGACGAGACATTTCATAGACAAGAAATTATAAATAAATACAAATGGTTAGCTTATTTTGACATGTTAGGTTGTCAGGGAGAATGTAAAATAAAAACAAGAGAATTAGTGGCAGGATATATTTTCTATATTACAGATCTACTGACCCTGCTTGAGCAGAATTATAGGAAATACAGGATTCTATCAAATCTTACTACTAAACAGCAGTAGTTACATTATTTAAACAATAGGAACACACACCAATTAGTATCAATTATATAAGATTTTGATTATATCAGTGCAGTTACTTTTGCACAATACCATAACAAGCAATAACCTTGCATAATAGCAGCAGCAACCACAGAATTCTCAGAAGTTATTTCATATATGTTTACTTTGAACAGGTGCAGCTGGTTGAGTTCACACAGCATGCAAAGTCAATTCCAAACAAACAGTATTACTGCAGAGCATAATTCATGATTCCGATTAGAGCTGAAATTGTTTTATCCATGACTGAATCCCATGTCATTCCATTAATATTGAAATAATTCTGAAAAAGATGCCAAATTCATTTTTGAAAAGGCTGATGCATAGATTATCTTCCCTTAATTCTAGGAAAGGTGATCGGCAGGTGTGCGCTGTCCCCCCCCACATCCATACATTCTCTTAAAGCCCTACCCAGTATTTTTAAAAACCTTCGTGGAGAGCCAAAAGAAGTGCCAATCATTTCAGTTCTACCTTTTCTAAAGATTTTGTTTCTTAGTTAAAAAATAAAATGCAGCTTCCAGTCAAATCAGATGCCCACCATTAAAAACACTTTGTTCATTACTCAAAAATCTGAAATGTTTGTGTATTTATTAGATCTCCTAGTAAAGTGATACAAACATCTGAACTAAAATTGCCTTCTGCATGCTTATCGTCAGCATTCCATAACACATAGTCCACACTTTAATGACTGTCCCAGAGAGCAACCATTTGCAGTTACGACAGTGATGAAAAAGTAAGTTTATAACTATTTTAGCCATTTCTAACCAATTCTCTCATTTATAATTTTTGCAGGTCTGTAAAGCAGAGAAAGCTGAAGTAAGATCATATCAAGTTGCCAGTCCCAATGGTAGCCACTAAAAAACAACTTCCTGTACAGAATACTGACAAACTATTAAAGGAATCACTCTTAATAAGCTTGATAAAGGCCAGGCAATATCCATATGTAAGACCCTTGATACTAGTGTATCTATTTTGCTGGATGCTATCTACCTATCCCTAATAGAAGTCCCAATAGAAATGGCTAAAATAGTTGGATCCAACTCACCCACAACTGTAGATAAAATAGATAGTATCACTATATTACTCATGACTTATGATGGAGAATGATTTCTATTAGTTATCTTCGTTATATAAAAGTAAAGCTGACCTCAAGTTGATTTTGACTCCTTGTGATTCTGGAGATACAACCATAATTTTCTGCTAATGCAGAAGTGTTTTTTTCAATATATTTTTCTACATCCCTACACCTTTAGTATTCCATAGTGGATTCCCATCCAACTGTTAACCAGACCTGGCCCTGCTTAGCTTCAAGCAAAATGTTGCCATCTGGTGATACTATTGCTGCATGACATGACATTAGCCATAATGGTTTATCATACAAAGATACCGGAGACAAAAACTGTCTTTCATAATTAATTTATTCAGAATTAATGCCATCAAATAAATTACCTGTATTTACAAAAAGGAAAAACAAGTGGCATGTAAGGACATCAGTACAAGGAAATTTGAAAACATAAAGACAACTAGGAATAAGTGGAAAAGGGAGTCAGTTCAACCTGAACTAAAAGCAGAGGTTTAAAGAACATAATTTGCTTCTATGAGAAAATTACCATTTAAAGTTCAACCTTTCTGAACAAGGCAATTTATCATAGTAACTGTCTGGACCATTTTAAATAGTATGAAAGCTACTCCATATATACACATATGCATCAGTTGTAGACCCCGCTAATGAGCATTCAGAAAGATACGGCCTCAACATCTGAAGGCTCCAATTATGTAACATATTTTATAATTATCTGTAAGTACATATACATTTGAAATAGTTTTAAAGATCACACTACGTGAATAAGATTTACCACGTGTTTTAACAAGCAATTTTATCATGACTTGTCATCTGATTTCATTGATGATCCCAACTTGTATCAAATAGAGAGGTATTTCCTACTTTGCACTATGCATAATTTGATTTTGATTGTCCTTTTCATTTTGTAAAATAAAAAATCCCACTATTCTAGTTTTTTCACATATGAAAGATGTGGTAATTCGATCATTTAGATACTCCTTTTACTTGTTTTTCCCTCACAGAGTCATTTTTTACAGAATGAGTAGAATGACTGAAAACCCTTTCCCCAAAACTGACATTGGTAATAGTATTTATATTTTGATTATTCATTTGAATTGCAAATAATGCCTGAAGCAAAAAAACTATATTCCACAGTAATTATAACTAGAGATTGGAATGTAAATTTTTATTTCCCCCCCCCCGAACAGTCTGCAGTTGGAATGTGTTAATATCAGTCATTTTCTAAAATATACAAATGTAATATATGCAAATCTACAGTCAGAAAGGTATCATTATACTAGTCCTGTTAATTACTTCATGACCTGCAATATATAAATATATCCTTTCAGAAATATATTATTTCCAGATAATTACCTGTAGTTCATTTAAAATGCAAACTTTTTTTTAACTAAAATGGTGAAGAAAGTTAAAAATTTGGCTTTTACATTATCAGATATGAAGTACAGGTAGCTCTCGACTTACGACCAAAGCTGGGGATGGAACTCCTGTCATTAAGAGAGGCAGTTGTTGAGAGAAGTATGCTCAATTTTACAACCTTTTCCCAATGGTCTTTAAATGAATCGTGTGGTTGTTAAACAAATCTGGCTTCTCCATTAACGTTGCTTGTCAGAAGCCAGTTGGGAAGATCACAAAAGTTGATCATGTGATCCCAGTGCATGCCAGTTGCCAAGCATCCAAATTTTGATTACTGCCCTCAGTCATAAGTGATGAGCTAAGTAACTTTTCTCAGCCCTGTCATAACCTCAAGTGGTTGCTTAACAAATTGCTTTAAGTTGAGCATTTTCGGCATGATGTCTGAAAAACATCTATCCAAATAAATGAAGAGACGTTGAAATTTGGTTCTCCAAAGCCATAATGGATGTCTGTCACTGTCCAATATAAATTATTCAGTCAACAATAGACATACTGGCATAGTATCTGAATCTCTTTATTATGTAGTGGCAAATAAAGTCAACAATCCTTTCAGAAAGGAAACTATTTCATTGCCTCCTAGCTTGGATTCTCCATAGACTCGATCCACAAATGATATAGGAACCTATTAAATGAAAAAAAAATCATAAAATCATTTCAGTTATAAGAACCAATAAAAAGATAAACAGGAACACTTCACCTCAAGATTCAGTGTTTATCTACCAACATGCATTCGAATGTGTTTTGATGCAGAATATGAAGTGATAGCTTTCTCACATTTAAATATGCTCAGAAAACATTTCCTCAAAATCATTGTTGTAAAATAGCCTACCCAGAGCCTGAATATGAAGATGGCATGCACCAGAGGTCTCTCTGGTATAATTCTAATCTTTTAAAAAGTAGACAAAAGAACTAGGTTCCTTTTAAATCTACTAAATTAAAGTATCTGTATCTTCCTTATCTGGAAATGAAATCCATTATTGTTGCTACAATACAGAACACAAACTTTGCGTTTTTCAAAGGTACATAGTATATATCTTGCTGAATACAGTATCCATGTGTATAACAGAACGAAGATGCCATTTTAGAGTTATGGTGGCTAGTGTAATCTATCCTAAAGAAGTATAGTTTCCCAATTTAGTGGTAAATTCATATAACTTTGTGGAAATTACTCTTTCTTTTTCTGATCTATGCAGAACAAAGTTATTTAATGTCTCAAAGGGCCAAACAGAACTGTAAAACATTCTTACTTTCAAGAGATACTGACTTGCATTGCTTTCTTTTTATAGCAAATATCTGAAGTAATGCTTTTGGTTTCAATGGTTTCAATTCACTAACCGTTCATTATATATAGTCAACATTGTTTTGTAATGTTTTAAACCACAACTTATTTTCAGTATAGCAAAACAAGAATGGTAACATTCCAGCATGTAAGACTATATGTTAAATTCTCCAAATTCTCCAAATTCAGCCTTTGGAATACATAGAAAATCCAATTAGGAATTTTCAGTAAGAATACTCTGCTAGAAATCAATGGCAAACAGAAACAGGAAAAAATTCCTACACCCACATTATTCTGCCAAACATATATTGCATTTCTAGGCCTATTTCCTTTTGGCAGTGGAAATTCCAATGAAGACTGCTCTGTAAATCTTCTGTTGACACATAGCAGACACTGGCATAAATTCATGAACAAAATGACTAAAGGATTCAAGAATCCCAGTGGCATAGCTCAAATTGGAATGAAAGGTATATAATTTTTACACTAAATAGGATTCCCAGAGATTGCTAATTTAAGATAATCCATAACTAGCAAAGTAATCTACAATATGGAATGCAGGTAAAGTACCAAGATACTTAAACATCTTGATGGACTTCAGACAGTTGGGCAGAAGTAAATAAGGAACCGTGTTTCACTGCTGGCTATGGGGCAGATCAGAGAACCAAGAACTCCTTTCCAGAACATTTTTTTACCATTCTCAAAACTGGTTTAAAAAACCTGTTTTTAAAAAGTAAGCTCTATTGGTTTTGGTTTTGTACTCTAATTGCTAAGAATGTAACAAATAAAAAATGATGTAAGAATTTTTTAATAAATAAAAAGTAACCTCTATAGAAGCAGTACCCACTTCTTTTGTGATCTGAAATGTGTGTGAAATTTAACAAGTGTTAAAATATTAGACACAGATTTATTAGGCACAATACTAGGCCCTCAGTAATTAAGAATGGGACCTGAGAAATTGTCTTTTTTAATATACCATGGCAAAGACACGAGTAACTTTTATCTTCACTACATGACTAGTAATGAAGCCATCAGACCAAATCTACCCTGATGCTGGAATATTAGAGAAGATGTATTACAGCCAATTGTAATCTATGGTTGGAAAGGTGGCATTAAGCTTCTTTGAATTTAAGTGGATACCTTTCTCATCCCCTGCATCTTTAAATGATAGAAGAGCACCTCTTATTTGCTAATATTTGTGTATCATTGTGTAAGAGCACCTCTTATTTGCTAATATTTGTGTATCATTGACAGGTTCATCATTTGATTAAGTTTGTGATGCTATGGCCATCTAATATTTGTGTTTAAATTCTGGGTAAGTCATTAATTAAGATTCTAGTGTAAGCTACTCATACTATATGATCCTATCTGAATCCTCGGTGTTTTTACTTGTCAATCAGTTCAATCTCCAATAGCCAGAAGGTAAACTTTGAGCACAAAAATGTAAATGTAATTATGTACTTTATGCTTTAGATTTTTAGCATACCTCTCCAATAGAATAACCCAATTGTCTGGCGCGGACAATCATTTCCATTTGGAAAACATATCCTTTTGAAACACATTTCTCCATCAGTTTTTGTAGAACCTCTTTTCTATATAACCTGAAATTTAGTGCACATAAAATGAAAATGTTTACAACATTTCAGTTACAGGCACACATATTTTCAAGTAATAAAAAAGAACAAATAATAGCAATAACCTATATACAGGTGCCTCCCAAATGTTATCTAACAGTTTTACAAGTTCAGTAGATTTCTTTATCAATCTCAGACTGGCCATTATCCTGAAGCATTCTTGCTCTTCATGAGCTGCTACGTACCATTTGGAAACCAGCTTACCTGAAGCTTCCTGTTAAGTCTGATGCACCTGGCCGTAATAGAACTTGAGTTAAAAAGTTGGCACCTCGGCTGAAAAGTAAGATTCAAAGTATTAATATGCAATCAGAATTTTAAAACAAACCATGTTTTAAAGATGTTATTTCATTAAAGGATCAGAGTAATATAATAGTTACAGTATATAAGGCAGGTAATAATTTACAAAATAATTTTAAGCACAACTCTGCTGGATTTCATTAAGGCCCAATGTTAGTTCAATGTTTTGTTTCTTGCAAATAGGATAGAGACATAAATGTCTCCTACCATTATTTCCTGCAACAAATATATTAGTACTTTGAGGTAAGATGTCTCCAATTGGGATATAATATTGAGCTGAGTTTTCAAGGATGTTTTAAGAACGTGTTCAGTTTCAGAATACCTCATGCAGAGAATATGTTTATGAAATAAAACTAGATAAAAAGATATGTAAGATGTGTAGCTGGGCTGGATAGAAATAAGAATGTTTTCCTTCAATTTTCTCAGAATTAAAGAAACCTTTTTAGAATCTGACAACCCTCTCAGAAATGATTCAGAGAAAGAAAATGGACAGTTTAATTACTGTCCATTATTACTAGTGATACAGGGCTATAGATGAAACACTGACCTGATCAATTTTCGTTTTAGATCCCACCCATGCACACCTCCATTTCCTTTATATCGAGTCCCAGACACAATATCAAAATTTCCTTCTTTCTGTTTTCTACAAACATAACCATTGGACAGAGAAAAGAAAGTATTTTTTTTCTGAATTACAAACTCACATACTTACTATAGCAGTAATCCAGAAAAGATAAATACAACAATACTGAAATGGTTAACATGCAATATAAGAATAAAACGAACTAAAAATTAATAGTTTCTTATCTTCAAAGTATGGTTTAGACCTAGAGAATAAAACTATGACTTACTTGGAACAATACAGATATTTGCTATGCAATTTAAATGAGCACAAAGTATATAGATAAGCAGAAATCTACAAGCAATTACACAGTGTAATTTTTAATGTTATTTTTATTATGACCTATTTATCAAACTAGCCCAGGTATGGTATGCCACCTCATACTTCGTAATTAAGAGATTACAGTAGTGTGTAGACTGAGATATTACACACTCACACATTGTTTCTTTTGACTGTTTCATCAACTGTGGTGGCCTGCGGTAGCCAACACTCAGAAGGAATGGCGGCACCTTTTCTGATGAACACACTTTATTGAAAGGCCTAAGTTTCCATGAGTTGTAGTTCATTTCATCGCATGTACGGAATAGTTAAATTAATGTAGGATTTGAAAAAGGGATGCAGCAAGTGAGAGAACAAGCAGTTCTCATGTAGATTACATGTGAAGCACGTTACAAGGAACTCACCAATTATAATAAAGTGACATGGACATATTAAAGTATAAGCACAAACAAATAAGAAACATAAGAAACAACATATTTTTAGAATTCCTAGTATGCCAACTAATTCAAAACATTTGTGAATCTTCTGTAAAATTTTTGAAGCAAATGTCTTATTACTGAAACTCTCCCATTAGAGTTCAGCCAGAATCTCTCAATGAGAAGTAATACATGGCATTATGTGAAAAGCTATGCAGCACACTTGCATTATCTTCTATAGTGCAGTTTTGTAACAGCATAATGCATATTTTCGCTGATGATCAATCTTATTATCTATCCCTACCAAAAATAAACACCACAAAGGGGTTAATAAACTAGTAGGCCTGACTTTAAATATTAGAACTGCTACTCACTTGATAAACTCTGGAATGAATTTCGGCTGCAAGGATAAAAAAAAAGGTGTGAGAAAAAGCAATAATAATAATAATAATAAAAAATATAGGGACTCCTAGACTTACAGCAGTTCATTTAATGACCATTCAAATTTACGACTTTTGCAGCATCCCCATGATCACGTGATCAAAATTCAGATGCTTGGCAACTGTCTCATACTTATGAACATTGTTGTGTCCCAAGGTCATGTGATCATCTTTTGCAACCTTCTGACAAGCAAATTTCAGTGAGGAAACTAGATTAACTTAACAACCGGGTTACTAACTTATCAACTGCAATGATTCACTTACCAACTGTGGCAAGAAAGGTGGTAAAGTGGGACAAAACTCACTTAACAAATGTCTCACTTAACAACATAAATTTTAGGCTTCAATGTGGTCGTTAAGTCGACGACTACCTGTAAATGAAATATTTTTTTAGAAGACAATAAAAATTACTGAGACCATCAGGTTGAGAAGATGTGGGAAAATGAGTGGGTTAAGATCTTATGGGATATTAAGATCCAAAGAGACAGGCATCTTGTTTATAAAACCTGTCTGGTATTGGCCTGTCCCACTTGATCCAGCAGAAGGGGCATGCTGCGAACTCCATTGGTCAGAAGGTTTCAGCAGGGTTTTAGAAGGAGGGCCTTTTCTGCCATGGCCCCCACTCTTTGCCACTTGAAGTGAGATGTGCCCCCATCCCTTTAGCCTTCTGGAAGGACATTAAAACCTGGCTCTGGGGTCCGAACAGGGGGATGTCTTTGCTGGAGGAGGCTGGTGGACTAACAGAGAAAAAGCTATTAATGTACTGATTTTGCCTTTTGCCTGTTACTTTCTGTATGTAATGTTTTTAATAGTTTTATATGTAAGTTTTTAACTGTAAGCCACCCAGAGTCACTTAGCAGAGTGAGATGGGCAGCATATCAATTCACTTAATTAAATTATTAATTAATTAAATAAATAAAATAGTTATTGAAAAGAAGAAAATCTGGTTCATTGATGTTGCTATATCAGATGATGCTAGGATTGAGGAAAAACAATCAGAAAAAAAATAGAAAATACTAGGACTTGCAGATTGAAGTTGAACATCTATGGAACAAGAAATCCATTGTTAAATTAATTGTGATTGGAGTCCATAAAGCAGCACCTGAACAATTTCCTTGCTATCTGGAAATACTGAATTTTTCAGACCCAAACTCTCTAATTTTACCACAAAAAAAAAAANTGACTGAAGGTTAATGTACAGATAGTCTCAATAAATTGATAGAATATTGTTAATCATCTCATTATTGATTACTTACCCAATCCAAGTTTCTTTGCTCTGGGTCTCAACAGCTGTAAAGTATAAGTAGACCAGAAAATAAGATGAACCATACTAAGCTCAGGCTAATGATCATGTACTTCCAATAAAATTTCATTATTGCTATTTTGCTCTTCCCTCAAACAGAATGATTATACTCATAAGGTAAAATCTGACATTGTATAAATGGATTTTAGTCTGTATTTTCCCCACATTATTGTAATTTACCTAAACCTAGGTATTTCCCCACATATTTTGTATGATTCCCTGAATTTAAGCTGATAAAAGAAATACTTTTATCTTAACCTTATAATAACAATCTCTTTGTATTTAAATATAGGTGGACTTTTGATAGAACTAGGCTAGCTGCCTTCCCCTCCCAGTTGCCGCAGGAAAAGCTACTCCAAAAGAGAGTGTTCAAATAATAACCATGACATAGAATCAATAGGTAGTCTTCAACCTATGACCCTAATTGAGTTGGAATCACGATCATCAAGTCATGCCGGTCATTAAGCAGGTCGTAATGTGACTGACCTGATTTTACATTTTTGTGGCTGTTGTTAAATGAACACAATGGTCATTAAATGAACACCATACTAGTTAAGCAAACCCATTGCCTACCTGGGGTGTTTTTAAATGGAAATTAGAAGTAAGCAAGGGATGACAAGCTATTTTCAATTAGCTAAATCGTTTTAAAATGAATTCCATTTCTCTATGCTAACAATTTGAAACATGTTGGTAATAACAGTATGACAAAGGGAAAAAAAGTAACTTACAATTTTGTCTGATCCATAAATCTTTATTAATTGATCAGCAACTTCCTGCGTCCCATCTGGGCTTCCATCATCTATAATTACAATTTCGAACTCATTCCCACTGAAAAAAATAATTATTTTGTAAAGCCAGGTCCAAAAGCTCCATCATTTCTAAAGGTGGGAAGTGACAAGAATCCCCAATGGTTTCCCATTAAAAGTAAATGTAGTCATTAATCCTATTACACTTATTTGGAAAGTCACATTTACTGTAACACATTCACCAATACCATGCTTTTCTTGGCAATTTAAATTCCTTGATTAATTTGTTTGATCTAATAGAACTTTATTTTAAAATTGTAATTTCAAATATACCTTATACATTCTCAGATCTGAGCAATAAGAATCTGATTAATTTTCTGCTGCCTATTGGCTAGTACAATTATTAATTTCACAGGCTTTGGGATCTGTCTTGATTGACTAATATTTCATTATATTTTACACAACTTGAATATATCAATAAGTTTACAATCGAGAAAAAAATTACATGCATATCCTAGTCATCTGTAATCTAAACAAAATAATTTCTGATGCTTTGTAATGTTTGCTAAATTAAATTCTTATTCAAAATAAGTGATAATTTAGGTACAAGACTTAGCATATTATATATTCAGCATTTAACTCATCAAACATTTTATTGTACTAATCTAAGAAACTGGTCCATGATACAACACTTCAGTTGTGTTCTCACTGCCTCAAGGCATTCTTTTAAAATGTCATTTAGTGAAAGAAAAACCTTAATAAAAGTTCAAGTGTTCTGATAATTTGATCCTAAAACTATTTTTGCAGATAAATCTTTATCAAAATGTAAATCTGAAGTTATATTTGTTGTTCCTTCTAAGCTACATACACACACACACATATACAGAGATTTTCAGCACAGTACTATGTATTTAATGTACAAGTCCAGAAGTTGAAAATAAAGAAATATTACACACATTTCATTCAAAATAATTCCTAATATAGCTTACTTCCAAATATGCCCTCAGAGGACTCCTGTAAATCCTAGTTTAAAAATCTGAAATAAGATATCTTAAACTGATAATCAGAAACAGATGTCTGGAAATATAAAATTCAGTAAAAGGTGTAAGGGGTCCTTGCTGTTCTCTGATCTTAGCTGTTTTCTTGCAGACATTTCATTATCTAAACTAAGTAACATCCTCAATGCTAGCAGGAAAACAACCAAGCTCAGAGAGCACCAAGGACCCCATATTTCAATCCTGAACAACAAATATTCTCCTTTATTGTCTGCCTCTCTCTCTCTCTCTCTCTCTCTCTCTCTCTCTCTCTCTCTCTCTCTCTCTCTCTCCTACCTACCTATGCTAAATGCACAAGAAAACTATTGTGCATTTTGCTCTCTTTGTCCAGCTCTGGGGTTCCCAACATCTGCAGTAAGTACACTGTAATGACAACCGTACTGGGCTTGGACTCAAGGCCTCAGCTCCAAGCCCCCATACAATCCCTACAGCTCCCTGGGAGACCTAAGGTCAGATGCAAAGGCCGGCAGACCTCAAGGGGCTGCTGTTCGGATGAGGCCGTGCGCCTTCCGCGTTCAGCTCGCAGGAGAAACGGAGGGAGAGTTGCAATAAATCAGTGTTTCTCAACCTTGACCATTTTAAGGCATGTGGACTTCAACTCCCAGAATTCCACAGCCAGCATTGCTGGCTGTGGAATTCTGGGAGTTGAAGTCCACATGCCTTAAAATGGTCAAGGTTGAGAAACACTGCAATAAATCAATCCAGCCCAAGTCAGGAAATATCAATCGAGAAGCTGAAACACCAGCAAAGGCTTCTTCCCCCACCCCTTCCCTCCCCGGCCGCTCTCCCGCTGCTAGTCACCTCTCCTCGAAGCTCTTCACCAGCAGCCACACGACCAGGGGCAGATTCTCGCGCTCGTTGTAGGTGGGCAGCAGCACCGAGTACTTGCGGGACGAAGCCGCCATGACATAGGCGCCCGCTCAACCGCCGGCTGCGCTTGCGCGATACCGCCGCTCAACCGCCGGCTGCGCTTGCGCGATACCGCCAGTGAATGGGCGGGGAAGAGGGGGCGTGTCCACGGGGGCGGCGTTTCTCGCAGCATCGGAAGCGGAAGGAGCGGAGCGTCCCTCGGCACGCGCTCGCTGACCTCCTGGCAGAGTAAAAAAAGCTGAGGTGATGGAAGCTGTGGAGGCCGCTCGGCTTCCCCGCCAAGAGGACTTGGCGGATGACCGAAACGGCGCCGGCGACATGCCGGAGCCTCCCCCTCTCCGGGCGGGACTGAGCCGGCTGGATATCCAGCGCTACTCGCGGCAGCTGGTGCTGCCGGAGCTGGGCGTGCGCGGGCAGCTGCGGCTCTCCTCGTGCGCGGTGCTGGTGGTGGGCTGCGGAGGGCTGGGCTGCCCGCTGGCGCAGTACCTGGCCGCTGCGGGCGTGGGACGCCTGGGGCTGGTGGACCACGACGTGGTGGAACTGAACAACCTGCACAGGCAGGTGTTGCACCGGGAAAGCCGTCTGGGCCACTCCAAAGCGCGCTCGGCGGCCGCCGCGCTGAAAGAGCTGAATTCCGCCGGGCGGTACGAAGCTCACGAGCTGGCGCTGAGCCCCGCCACCGCCCTGGAGCTGGTCGGGGCCTACGACATCGTGGCCGACTGCTCCGACAACGTGCCGACCCGCTATCTGGTCAACGACGCCTGTGTGCTAGCTGGCAAGCCCTTGGTGTCGGCCAGCGCCTTGCGCTTGGAGGGTCAGTTGGCTGTATACAACTTCCAAGGGGGCCCCTGTTACCGGTGCCTCTTCCCCAAGCCCCCTCCTCCTGAGACGGTCACCAACTGCGCCGACGGCGGGGTCTTGGGGGTTGTGCCCGGCGTCCTCGGCTCCCTCCAGGCCCTGGAGGTGCTCAAGATGGCTTCGGGGATAGGATCCTCCTTCGGTCGGTCGATGCTGCTCTTTGATGCCCTTGAAGGACGCTTTCGCCACATCAAGCTCAGGCCCAGGGATCCCAAGTGCGCCGTGTGTGGGGACCGGCCCTCCCTGACGACCCTGCAGGATTATGAAACGTTCTGTGGATCTTCAGCAACCGATAAGTGTAGGACGTTGCGCTTATTGTCCAGTGAAGAGAGGATTTCTGTAGAGGAATACAGAAAGATTCTGGACAACCAGGTTGCTCACGTACTGGTGGATGTTCGTCCCCAAGTCGAAGTGGAGATCTGTTGCTTGCCCAAATCCCTCCAGGTGCCCTTAAATAAACTAGAAAGAAAAGATGAAGAATGTCTGAAGTCTTTGTACCAGAAGATACATGAAGAGAAGCAGAGGACTGATGGCACTGTGGCATTTCCAGTGTATGTTGTCTGTAAATTAGGAAATGACTCTCAGAAAGCAGTGAGAATATTGCAGGAATTGCTTTATGATGAAGGAGGCTTAATTTCAGTTAAGGATATCAAAGGAGGACTCATGGCATGGGCTGACAAAGTTGACCAAGATTTTCCTCAGTATTAATGTTTTCTAATAGTAATAATGTAAATTCATTGATTTCCTTGGTTTTTGGAAAGGGATTTATTATTATAACAAGGTAATATGTTTATATCTTCATTTGGTTGTCTGTGGAAATCTCACTTTAAACTACTTAATTCTTCAAATAAATACTTTTTTCAAAGTATTCCTCGGAGTCCTAGGTTCCATAAGAATGTAAGAGATTAAGAGGGGGAAAATGGTTGATATTGATACAGCCAGGGCCATCTATTGAGGAAAAGGCAAAAAATACACCATAGCTGCTACTTTGTTGCAAAGAGTTTAAGGATTTTTTTTTTTTTTAAATGTTCTATGGCCCGAAAAAGTTTAGAACTCTTGCTTCAAATAAGTCATCCAAAGCAACTTAAATATTTGGGGTGCGAGAGAAAATAATTCAGTGTAAAGAGGATAAAGGAGGGAGGCATATGAAAGAAAAAAAAGTTGTGGATTGGTTCTTCAAGTTCTTAAATAATAAACAAATGAATGCAATACGTAGTAAAGAGACGGCTGATGGAATGATCCTGTTTCACATTTCATTTCCCTCCTGTAGCTTGACCAGTAATTATATTGTACTATAATAAAATCATACAAAAGTTACATTGGTATATTTGCATTGTCCAATATTCCTAGGACCAAATACTGCTGAATTAATTTAATCCTTTCTTGAATTCCTGTTGAATCCAAATATATCATTCTGTGTCTTTTAATACTGTCACTTTATATTATAAAAATGATACCATAACTTTCATTAGCACATTAGGTTATAGTCCTTGAGTACTTTAAAAAAAAAATCCTGCATTGATACAATGGCATTCCTATGAGTTGCAAATACAGGATATGGTTTCCCACAGAAATAGTGGGATGCAATTCTGCTTCACCACTAGTGCTGACCTCTTTGCATCTGTTCTAAGTTCCTTGTTTTGTTCTTTCTGCACATTAGAGGACAGTTTGTAGACTCAAGGCATAATAGATAACTTGATAACACCAAGGCTCAGAAATGATTGACAATCAGTACTGGTACCTAAAAACATAAAACCAGAGCCCTTCTGGATGAGGCCAAAGCTCCATCTAATCCAGGTTTTGGTGCCATACGTTGGTTCAGTGTTTCTCAGTTTTGGCAGCCTGAAGAAGTGTGGTCTCCAGCTCCTAGAATTCCCCAGCCAGCGTAACATAGGTGGCTGGAGTATTTTGGAAGCTGAAGTCCACACATCTTCAAGTTGCCAAGGTTAAGAAGCATTGCATTGACCAATGAGAAAGAACTCATCAGCAAGGTTGGAAGACTGGCAAACCATCTCAGCAATTATTCCTTAGCAGTTCTTCATTAAGGTATGCTGGGGCTTCAGATATCGAAATCTGTCATCAAAACAAAAAGCAATTGATAGCCTCTATGAATTTGACCAATCCCCTTCCGAAACCATCTAAATTTGCTTCATTGATGAATAAATGAGTAACCTTCACTCTGTTGGCCACTAAATTCTGCACTTTTAACTATACTGAATATTTTAGAGATATAGCTGCCTTATAGTGCCCTTTTATATAGGGAAAAGGACACAATTATAAATCAGCAATTAATATTTAATTCGGATTGGGTGACTTGAGTTCAAGTCTGCAATTGAATTATGAGTCTCACTTTATAAGTGACTTTCGCCATCCTTATTCTTCTTGTCAGGTTTTTGTGAAAAATAATCATTTTGTGGAGGGGAAAGGAAAAATTATCTGTTGTCCTGAGCTTGTTGGAAGAAAGGTTGGATAAAACTGGCATGTGATTTTTTAAAAAGCCGTGTGAAATTCACCGTTTTCCTGTTTTGAGTAAGGGGTGTGTTTGCTAGTGCCTTGCTTACGAGCTTTCCAAAACCCAAAGCAGAAACTTTCCATGGAGACTCTTTCCTTTTATTCTTCCTTCAGTGATCAGTCTAACCTTAAACATTAGTCTTTGCTCCCAAAATGTACACCAATAGTCACATATCTCATTCACAATGCACCACAAAATGAAAGTAAAGATAGCAGAGAGCCTTATCCCATTCTCTCTGCTTTTCTAACCCCTCTCTATTACAAAGTAGTTGCAATTTTATTCACAAGAATTCATGCATGTAGCTGTTGGATAGCTATCGGTACATCTATTTTTGGACAGGAAGGCTATATTCTAGATTTAAAATTCTTAATCTCCTTATTGTAATTTAAAATATTAATATTTCCACCTACCAACTGAAGCCTGGTTGAATCCAGGAATTGAAACAATACCTTAAATCCTAGAAAGCAAAAGTACAACTTTTATTACAACGCTGCTTTATTTTCTGTTAGATGACTTTGAAAAGCATGAAAAGGATTTAACTTTTTATTTGATGTCAATGCAAAACTATGCTGAAAGTTGTGGTATTTCACTGCAAACTCTAAAGAACTGAAGAACTATTGATAGAGAATTACCATTATTCGATGTTCAACAGATGCACTCAAGAAGATTGGGATTCTGCAGTTGGTCCCATTCTAGCTACCTACATAAGTGCTGCAAAAAATTTGCAACAGTGCTTCCAAATTAGTCGTGGATGACTCATCCATGTGATTAAGAGAACCTGTGTTTTCAAAAATTCTGAATGTAGGAATAGAACATTTGCATATGCTCAGTCTTCATGCAGAAACAATTTTTTAGGCATATGTCAGATCTGAAAAAAGACAAGATCAGGAGCACTGGGAAAATCTGGTACATTTTGAGCAAGACAATGTCAAAATAAAGCTGAAATCACCTATTTAATTTGAATGACTTGAATGGCTAATTTTATAGTCATTTTTTAAGAAGTCTTTTTTTTAGGGAGTTACTAAGAAGCTGAAGTTATTCAAGGTAGTATGAGACATAAGAGCTAGCAAAAGAGTTTGAAGGTGGTTTGTACATTTGAAAAAACAGCAATATTTCTTATCTTTGTTCCTGAGAATAAGAAAACAAATGGATCATCAAAACAATTCAGAGATCTCACTCAAGGCACAAATGACCAGGTTCAAACTATCCTACTCTACAGTAGATACATTATACAAAGGCCTAGCTCTCTGGAGAGGGCTCTAGTGCTGGGAAAGGTGGAAGAAAAGATAAGTAGAGGAAAACTAGCAGCAAGGTAGAAATATAGTCACAGCAGCAACGAGATTACCATTAGAAGACCTGGAAGACCAGGCTAGGGATAAATCATCATGGAGAAAATCTGTGGGATTAATGAGAATTAACAGTGGCTCAATGGCAGATAATCAATCTTAACAAACTTCCAATTACTGCAGCTTCTTAAGATAAGCCTTAGAAAGTATTCTGAGATATCCTTGGTCTTTGCTCCCAGCACTCAGCATACTTCACAAGCCTATGAAACTATTTCAGTGCTGAATAGTAATGAATCTCCAATTACCATGACACTTTTCTTTTTTCTTAAAAGATTATAATTACATTGGCTTTGTGCTTTATGTATCATTTGTCTTGTCTCCCATTCTGCGGTGTCTCGCTCACAGCATGCTGCATCTGCTAGACCCTAAAAACTGTTTCTGAATTTCAGTGCAGAATTTCTTCTGAAGGTTACTGTCATCCACTGGGTTTATTGTTCTCTTTAATTCTGTCCTTTAGAGAGAGATGCTTCCGTTGTCACTTTCTGTTGCAAACCTAATGTCATATATTTCTTCTTTAGGATTCTTGTTGGTGAAAACTCTTGAAAAATAGTAAATTTGCTTTATATCTGGGTTTAGTAAATATCCCTGTGTTGAATGAAAATACAAGAATGATCAGTGAGCTTTGCGTAAGATTGCATTACAAGATGGCCAATTGCACTTTTCAGTGATTTTTATGGAGCTATTGGCAGCCATAATTGCTGCTACCAAGCCAATATCAGCATATGATCAGGCTTAAGTGGTAAAATTGAGCGATTCAAAGGGAGCATTTATCCTGCCCTGAATAACCACATCCTCCTAATTCTGTTTGATTAGCTGGCTATATGATTTCCAGAGTTCAGCAGCCTTTCTGATCTACAAGTATCACTGCCCAACCTAACCTTCTGATCCCTCTAAGCAGCCTGTAATGTTGTTAATTTGCCTACTTTCTCAGGCTTTTAGCAATCAAACCGTACAATCTTGCAAACTTTCATGAAATTAAAATCTTAACAATATTCAAGTATTTTATTTTAAAAATGTTTTGATTTTAATTTAATTGGGCTCTCAAGTACCATACAGCTAACAGGTGGCTTATAATTCAAGGAATCACTCTGAATTTATTTATTTATTTATTTATTTATTTATTTATTTATTTATTTATTTATCAAATTAATGCAGTAGAAAAGCATTTTTCCCTTCAACCTTTTCTTTCAAGTGGAAAGGAAAAACATCCTTGTCTGATGAAAATACTAATATGACTTTTGTGTAAACAGAGTATAGAATTGTGGTGTTTATAGATTTTTAAAAGTTTTGATTTACCAAGCCAGATCAGATTTTGCTGTTTGCCCTTAAATGAACAGAGAGAAAAATGTAGATACTTTATCTTTGTCTTCCCTGTTCAAGCGACCCAAATTTTATGATGTCACACAAAGTTACATTCACTGGCTTAATATCTTGGCATGTGTCATTTCTGGCTTAGATGTTGTTTGAGTTACAGGTTTCTTAGTTGAAAAAGCAGAATAAGCAACTCAAAAAGGGAAGGAATTTATTATAAAAAAGACAGCCAGGCATACTTCCAGTGTGGCAGGTCATATTATTTTGTTTTTCCATAGGATGCTAAAATAAAATCCATTTTACTTATGGCTGATGAAGATTCATTTTAAATTAAACTTAGAAACATTAAATTTCAAAATAAATATATCAATAAAATTTTTACTTCTGGACTTCATAAAGCTAATAATAATAATAATGATGATAAAGTTGGAAGGGACCTTGGAGGTCATCTAGTCCAACTC